TGCCTTTATTGATGAGTCTGCACTAACCAACTAACTGTGAGCTTACAAAGAAGTTAAAATGTGCTGGTTTAATATATGGTGTTGTTTTTTTTCATTGTTTGCTTTTTGATATTTCTTAATCAACCTAGAATTTATTTGAGAAATCACTTGGCTCTCTTGTGCATGAAAAGAAGCTTGAGAGTCTGCGACTCAAGAGATGATGTTCTCTTTATTGGCTGTTTAGTCAGCTGTGTCTGTTGCTCATAAAAAAAGCTGCATGTACATTAAAAATGTGTTATTTTTACACGTGGTTGCACAGTTGTATATTTGTTTGAGAGCTACAGAGGCTTTCTAAAAATAAAAGCAACAAAAAAAGAAAGGAGATCAAGTTTAAGGTTGCTACTATGTCCAACCTTTATGTCTTTGCATGACAAGGTGGTATCTAAAAATGCAGCTGTGTATGTTTGTGCATGTATATGTCATGCTCTTTTAATGGTCTACTAATCCCAAATGCATTTGGCAGACAAATTAATCCAAGCCTTGTCATAGCCAAGCTCTAAACCCCCCCATGTATCCCGTAGACTTGTCTCCATCTCTCTCTGGATCTCTCCTCAGGCTGCAGTGTACCAGTATGCATCTCCAGATGGTATCTTGGAGGTAGGTGCGAAGTGAGATAGAGGAGGAGAGACAGACAGCACACAGAGAGATGGTGGGAGACCTGTGACGGACGAAGCCTTTCCATTGGAGCAGAGAGGAAGCCGAACAGAAGAGATAGAGACAGAGAGAGTTAAAGGGAGAGAGGAGGGTGGTTATTTGTTGCCATAGTGAAAAAGTAGATTAACCACCGTGAGCATGATGCTGTGATGCACTTGTGAGAGATGCTGTGTTTCTGTGGGAGTATTCACCCCTACAAGCTGAGGTATGTGACTCTGACTTCTTTATTCAGTGAAAGTCTATATTGGCATGCAAATAATGAAAAGGAGATTTTATAAACATCATAGCTGCCATTATAGGATGTGATGCATGTCAGCTTTTACAGATGAACCTTTCTTGGACACCTTCTGGGACGTCTGTTTCCTAAAGGAATGCAAAAACAAGTAGACTCTGACAAGTCTACTGAAACTTTTGCTTAGACCCCTTAACTGACTCATAATTTTCTCTACTACCATCAGCTGCGGCTTATAATATTTTCAGACAAAACAAAAAAAAGAGACTAAAAATGTAAGAATTACTGTCATAACCTCTGCATGTGTATAATCTAAAAATATACTATTTTAATAGCACATATTCTTACATTCTTAAGAGGCTTGTTGTTACTGGCAGGAGCAGTCTGTTTTTATTGCGCAATGGTTGGAATGTTTTCATTAGGTTTGCATTGATTTTATATCCTTAATTGTTTAATCTCTCTGGCTCCATAGGCAGATGCCAAACAAATCCGTATAGGTTAATAGCTCTTTTACTCTTGTGCGACCGCAATCAAACTTCAAATGTTAATCGATCTCTCCCCTGCATCGTCATCCCAGCTCATGGAGTCACGTCTGATGTCTGTCTTGTCTAAAAGAATAGAAAGATACACTCAGTCTATCAACATTAGATTTCACAAGTGGGGGGATTGGGGGTGCTTTCAACTTTTTTATAGTTAGTGTTAAAAGACTGAGATATCATGAAAAGTTCAGACAGAAAATTGAAAGGAAAGCAGAAAGGAGAAAACTGTCTGACAACTTCTCCAGTTTTTATTCCCTTTGCTGATCTCCTCTTCCGTGACCTAAGCTGATATCTTTTATAAATAACAATGACACATGCTATTCAGAAAATAAAACGTTCTGCTCTGAATGGCAAAATGATTTACCTAAATGTGGCACCACCACAGCCAATTATTGTGGCAAGCCAAAAAAGAATATAATCAACCTAAAGATGGATATCCAGAAAAATACTGTGATCTTTCCACAAAGATGTGTCCCTCTTTATTCTGTCTCATGTCAAATAGCGGAGGCTCATTCTGAGAGCTCACAAAATAAAAAAGGAGACACTGTAGGCAGAAACACAAGAGAGTGAACGGGAATCATGTTCATAAAATCTGTGTCTAAATTCTCACTCTCATTATTATTTTTAAAACATTATAAAACTACAGAAATCCTTATTTTGGAAGGACAGATATGTTTATATATAAAGCAGATACTCCCAAACAACCTTTATGTCATTGCTGTAGCGGAATGCATGTGCGGTGTGAGGGATTGCTGTAAAGCCAATGACACATGGAAGCGAATATCTACTGTCGCTAGATGTTCATCCAGAGGGAAGGAATTCTTCAACCTCCATTGATGCAATCAGTTGGTTTTCCTTGGATGGAAAATTTTACACCAGTATGACTGTATGTCTAAGTTTAATATCTGCAGAGGATCGTAACACCCCATACCTGTTTAGCCATGACCTCAGTTCCAAACTTTGGGAGTCATTGATTCAGAGCAACCTTTGGTTAAGGAACCTGATTTTCATTATGAGTAACATTATTAATAATTTTTTATAAAAGGAAATGTAAAGGTCCATAGACAGCTGAAGATAGGCACCAGCACCCCTGCAACCCCAGCTGGGATAAAGCGTGACAGAAAATGGATGGGTGGATGGATGTACAACACATAAAAAGCAATCTGTTTCTCAGTAGTTGATGCATTTAAATTAGAATGTCAGCCATTCACCATGGCAAAGTTGTTAGCACTGTTACCTTGCAGGAGACAATCCTATGTTCCAATTCTTGCTGATTTTGGGTTCTTGTGATAAAAGAGTGTCCCCTATCACTTGGCCAAAAAAGATGAGCACTCACACCCCACAACGCTGCAAAGACAAGGTGGTACAGACAATGAATGCACTATGCGGTTTCCTTAAAATAATTTTTTTTTAAATAAATAGAAACATGACATGTAAATATTGTTGAACATAATTAGGAATATGATTACAGCAAAATTTCTGCATTACATATCATTATAGTGTCACCTCTATCCTGCGTGAGTCTCTGGTATTGCTGCCAGGAGCTATATCAGTTGTGGTTATAAATGGCAGTGAAAGCCTATATCCATATGGGTACATCAGTTAAAAAGCATTAAATAGCATATAAAAAAAACAGCATTTTAATACATTGCCCCTGAAATATTATAGCTTATTTATTATTGAGTTCAAGCGATTAATTAGGCAAATTGATATCGACATGACAGTTACAATTTAAACCCTGAAGGGACATGTTCAGGGATGCGAACCACCTGAAGTGCAAACAAACAGATTATTTTTTAAGCTATTGCTGAGATATAGTCACTACACTGGATTTGGTGTGGGGTAGGGAAACTTCAGCTTTGAAGCATTCCATTTGCTAATTTCCAGCACACATTGCTAACTGAGCCTTGTGTTGAATACAGAGCCATGCAGTTGTGGGTTGATTTTAATACAATGGGCCTGGGAAACTGGGACAAGGTAAGATTAAAAACATATTTTGCCCCTTTTCTAAGCTGCCTCCCACTTGAAGGCTGGTTGGAACGGCTAAAGCGAGAGGAATCTGGAATGCAACATTGAATGGTCACACATGTTTATCACCAATGTTCCAGATTTGAGGCATGGACATTCATACTAAAACGTTTCAATAACTGTTCCATCTTACAGACAAAAAGCAATGACTCAGACTAAGACAACTTTTATTGTTATTTTTGAAATTTTGCTTAGTACATCTTTTCAGGCAGTAAATGAACATTTCCATTCCATAATGTGCAGTGATCAAATGTAAACAGTGTGGGAGAAAGAACATGGTTCAATTAATATTTTTTGCAAATATGAACTATTTTTGAGTCTGTGACATGATTTAGAGTTTTTTTTTTTTTTTAACAGTTCAGCAGTCTGATGGTGGTGGGGAAGAAACTTGCAGAATCTGCTAGTATTCTAATATAATCTAATCTAATAATCTGATCTAATATTACTGTAGACAGTATTTGCTCAGGCATCTGGGTGAAATGAATGTAGTATCTAAATGCTTCAAGTACACCTTTACATCCAGCCTAAACACTGATGGCTCAATCCTAATTGGGTCAGTATGAGTAAGGGTAACAAGTTTTTGGTAGAAAAGCAGCAAAAAAATGTTTAAAAATGCTTGAGACAAGTAGCAATGCTGAATGAATATAAGCAGCAGCAGAGGGGGTCGTGAAGAGCAGGGGAGAGAGAGGCGGTGAGGAGGGGGAGTGCGGAGGATAATGTGAGGGGAGATGTGCTGAGAAGAGGAGGAGCAGAGGAAGGAGAGAGGTGTTTGGAGAAGAGGTTCAGGTGTGCGTGACTGGAAAACGGAGGACTCTTCAGGAGCTGCACAGCGATCTGCTGCTGCTGCTGCTTTTCAGGCTGTTTGACATTGGACTATGGGCAGCCTCTTCCTCTGTGGCAGCATGCATCCTAATTGTCAAGCGGGATGCTGCGCATGATTTCAGAACCATGAGGGACTCTATGAGGTAAAGATTTAAGAGAAATATACATATAGTATAGGATAAATGTCATTTATTCACTGGAGATGTACTCAGTGTCCCCTAATGTTTTCTGACTGCAATCAATTTTCTTGCTTTAACTTGTATGTTTAAAATCTAGGTTTGCCATAACTCACTAATAACCTAGTTTATGAAAACATCTCGTTCCTCCGGTGTTGGTTCCAGGGCGCACAGTCATGTCTGAGGGGGGTAGAGCCCCCTCTTTATCCGTGCATGCTGCAGCAGTGTTGGTTTCAGACTGTCTCTGACTGTGTCTCTTTCATGTTCCTGCATCATTCGCTCATTATCAATCTGTGTGTGTTTGATTGGGTGCAAATGTTGCTCTCTTATCGCGTTTTGCGGTCTGACTGTTGCAGCGCTGCGCAAGTCTTTCTCCTTGGAGCCAGGCACTTTGGGCAGACGCTGCTCGTCAGTGATTAATTAAGGGCTTGGAAGATGTCAGATCAGTCTGGTAATTAAACTCATAATGCATAAAAAAAAAATTATGATATAGATTAAAGTGGATGGGGTACAATTAAGGTGCTCTGCATAGAGGAGCGGCGGCAGAAAGTCTCAACGGATTGCAGGATAAGCGATGAAAGGTCAATGATTGTTTGGGTGAGTTATGCATGCTGCTCTTGCAAACCTTTTATGGTGTTTGCATCAGTTACTGTGCTGATGACACATATTGTCATATTACAGAGATTGTATAACAACCATTTAAGCCTGCCATTACTGAACAGAGTTTCAGAGGCATGCTTATAGCTGTGGATAATTATTAATTTGTAATAACCATGTTTAGAATACAAGAGGGCGCATTAAAAAACAAAAACACATTGACAAAAATTGACTAAATGTTTATTGCATTTATAATTTAAGCATCAGAAATATCCAATTGACAGATGAGATATTTAAACTTTCAGATGACATTCAACTTTTAAAAAACCTGCTGAAACATTGCTTTCTGTGAACCTCTGGAGAAAATGGTTCCCTTGTCCACTCAGGATTAAGAAAAGCCTACCGAGACACTCTGTCCCACGCCCACTCAGCAAAAGAGCAAAAGCCTTGCAATGAGAGAAAAACAACAAACAATATGATTCAGTTCTAGTATTTTTTTTCTTCAGGTTTTTGTAAAATATGCAGCCACAGACCTACTGGATGTTCCTCTGTAGCAGGAGGCAAAGGCACCCACTCTGACTGGGTGATAACAGAATGGACCTTTTTTAAATTCATGTGGGTGGACGTGCATCCATTTGTGAATGGCATAGGGCGCTCACTATTTTTCCATTGTAGCCTGTGTTTGTTTTCTAGTTTGGGTAGGTTGATAATTGCATGACGCTGATGTATATTTGCCTTTGAAAGAATAATTTACCCCATATCTACTGACAAGAAAAGGGCACAGTGGAGTTTCTGTGGTGAATTTGCAATTCCCCATACATTACAAGAGCAAATCAAATTTTGTTCTCTCTCCAGACGCTGTCTGCTGTTGTACTCGTGTTAATTACAAACATTACTATCTGCAAATAACAGAACTGAGGGAAAAAAAACTGTATTTCTGCGTATCTTTTAAAACTGAATGTCTCCTCATTACTACATAGTAAATTAAAAGTTTTCAGCTGTAATAAAATTCACTGCATGAAAGGGATTGCTGCAAACCAGAGGTTAGTTTTCATGCCTCTTTATGTCGGTGTGAAAGTTATTTCATTGGGGTTTACAGTGCACTTGTGTGTAGTTTGGTTAGAGCTAAAGGTATAAATGCTTAATGATGTGTAGGAGATGTTTCTTTAGGGAACGAGTTGCTCATTAAGTCTCCACAACAAGAAAGCAACATAGTAGAGCATGATAGGGGAACCCGGTAGGTGACTCAGAGCTGCAAATAAAGAGAAGGGGCTTCTCGTTAGGGGAGTTTCAGCGCTGTAATCCACTTTATTTTACAGGATCATTTCGATGCTGGCAGTAAGTTAGGGGATCTGGTTTTACTTCATACTCTAATGGTGAAGATGTGGGGGAAGGGTCTTTGGTTTTCCAAAAAAAAAACAGCAACATTATTTGCATCTTTCACTCAGCCTAGTTTAACTCACTTAATTTATAGTCAAGGGTCTAATACATCACATTTTAATCACTGTAGCCTGCTTTTTAAGAAAACGCACATAGGGTATGGAGTATACACAGATTCAGGGGAACTATTGCAAACATGTCCGTCATGAATAGGCGCAGGTGGCACTCTGTAACTCTTGGGTTTATTGTCTTTTTTTAAGATGATCTAGTTTTATTATTGTATTGCATGTGGTGGAAGGGTTCACATCCAGAAAAATTAGTTAATCTAAGTCTGAGGTCTTGGTTCTGATCAGAATAAGGTTGAGTTCTCCCTTTAGGCCTGGGGGAAAGTCTTTGAAGTTCAATATCGTATGTGTCTTTCTCACAAGTAATGTTGGACATGTATAAATTGATTGTGGCCTTATCTACAATATTTTGACACAACTTCAGTTTATTATGGTGGAGATGAGCTAAAAAAAAAAAAAAAAAAAGACATGGTCAGAATATATAAATCATCAATAAAAAAATCTTGTGTAACCACAATTGGGAAATTAACTCTTGGACAGTGTAACTCCCCCCTCTGGTAGTAGAGCAAAGGGAATCAGTTAAATTTGTTCGAACATCTGATCAGGACATCTCGATGACACTTGTCTTCAACTTCCATCCATCTCCATCTGTGTCCCAAACAGTATTTTTAACTCTATCAATCAGACATTTGTAAATGGGTAAACTCTTAATATTAATAGCTGTGTTTTTTAAAATCCTGTTTAAAACTTCTTACAAGCATTGTTTTTTTTTTTTTTTTTTAAACACTGAATATCAAATAGCGGTTGAAAAAAAAATTAATTTATGATTATTTGCCTGTAAACAGAAGACAATGAGAACATGCTTTGCTTGGCCAATATAAGGACGTGATGATGAACAAATGCATTAGTTGAATATTCAGCCACAAACTGCACTTCTGAAACGTGTTCCACATATAAGCAACATCCCAAAAATCACATCTGTTATGGCTTCAGGATGACTTGACAGGAGTGAGACATTGCTGACTTTTTTGTTCTAACCTGTTGACATGAGAGCCAAAAGGAAGGTATGAATGTTCTACCCCAGCAAAATGCTGCGATCATGAAACCAGCCCCAGACCTGAGGCCTCTTCTTAAACCTCAGCTTGCTTGTGTGTTTCACCAGCAGACGAGGAGAATGGGAGACAGAGGGAGCGGGAAGCAGAGGCCGACATTCAGTTGCATCACTAAATAACTGGGTGTACGTGCACTGCAAGGCTTAGTTTGGTTTTATTCATTCATTCATTATTGGAGCAGCAGTGAACAATCCTGCCAGCTTGAAACGCCCATTTTGATTCAAACAGACTCTGCAGCCGCTGATGTCAGTAATGCCTCACGCTTTTTTTTTATTTCTTTTATCTCATTCTGGTTTTTATCTTTAGCATTAGTTTCTCTCTTTTTATTCTAACATATACTCTGAAATGCCACACTCCTCTCTACCTTTTTCTGAATGGTCGATTGCAATGAATTATTGGTGACGTACTGATGTCAGACCAAATGCTGGAGACATGCAGACAGATGGCTAATTGAAGGTTTACTGAATGGATGTCACTTTCCATTTAACTAACAGTAATTTCCTAGTCAATCTTACGTATTTGCTTTTCTGTAGCAGCTCTAGGTGAGGTACACATAACAAAACCATCAGCTAATCAAGGCTCACATTTATTTTTTGGCACGGCTTGGAAAAATTCTTTGGAATGAGCATAAGATCATTTACCAGACTTACAGCAGAACTAATGTAAATGCTTGTTGTAGCAATGACCTTATAAGATGCTCTCCCTGGAGCTCAGAGAATGGTCTATAAATCAAAGAATGGATCAGCACCTCAATACATTACAGATTTGTTGTCAGTGTGTCAACCTCCCAGTCCACCCAGGTCTTCCAGTTCCAGTCTACTCTGCACCCAGAACAAAAACCAAACATGGGGAAGCAGCATTTAGTTCCTATGCTCCACTGGGAAAAAGTCCTAGAAGACTGTAAAAGTGTGGAAAGCCTGAGTTCTTTGAAGTCAAAAAAATTTTTTTTTTTTTAAACTACCTTTGACTGTTAAGTTAAACTGCTAACTTGGGTATTAGTTTAAGGTTGTGGTCCAACTGTTTTAATTTCTTTATCCCGCTTTTTTTTAAACTTGCTTTTAATTAGCTTTTTTTGTGGTCCAATTGTTTTATTTGTTTTCCTTTTTTTTCTTTCATTCTACTTTTCTTCTATTTTATTATCTAATTCATTTAAAGCACTTTGAATTGTCCATGTACTGATTTGTGCTATACAAATTAAATTGCCTTGCCTTGCCTTGCCTCTCTCTGCAAACATGAAGATTCACTCCTCTCAGTGCCTCATTTCTTAGGATTAATTCACAGGGAGCACTCATTGTCTGTCAACAGACCTGTGTGTTTTTTCTATTCGTATACAGTCTCATCATTATTCTTAGATTTTTTATTTGATCCCAACACATACAATAAATGTCAAACGAAGCAGCTGAATAGAACAGTGAAACAGATGATGGGAAATTCTGAAACTCTAAATTCAGGTGGTTCAACAAAAGAAAAAACTATCTTTTGTGGTTCTGAAAAGTAAAACAGACAGAATATATACTTAGATTAGTGGAAAAAGGGATATGGGGAAGAGAGGCTGGATCTGAATAAACTAGATGAGACAAGCAGAAGTTTAAAATCAGCTTACACAGCCAAAAAAGACAAACCAAAACCCACAGAGCATGAACGCTTTGTTTGGAGCTTTATTAACGGATACTAAACAGAGAATATGTGCTCACTAATTAATAGATACAGACACAAGGAATATTTTGACTTTTTTTGCTAAAACAAAATAAATACAAAATGCCCATGAATGCCAAGCCATACCAATCCAACATTTTATGATTCCAAGGTTTTTTGGAGAGAGAGCCTACAATCATCTAAGTAAAGTTGGACTTACTTTACTTTTCATTACAAAAAATGTGTCGGTTCAGATTAGAACTATACTGTTTACATCCATCAGACCTATTAGAGTGTTACAGAAACCTTTTTCAGAAAAGCACTGTTCTTTACAGCTGCTTGAGGCGTGAAATGCTGTTGTGTTTGAGATATTGATATCTTGTTGACTCAGTGGTGACTCTGCTCATTCACAGTGATGTAGAACTATTCCCTAGGAAGCAGAGGAAAAGAGCTGGACCAGTGTTTGTTAGGCATCAATTCCTGAGGCATGTAGAGAGCTGGTCCCCAGCCAATACTGTTGTCATCACATTAAGCTGCAGAAATAAATGGCTCCTCAGGATGCCCTCGTAGTTATGTGACCATGTGAAAGAGCTAAACGTTTTTACTCTCGTATACATGCCATCTTGGGTTGTTACTGCTAATTTATTCTACTTCTCCAATATATCTTTAAAGCTATAGTGGAGGATGTTCTTTTTCCGGATGGATCATTAAATTAAGTGGTCCTCCTAATTGTCAAATCTTTCTGGTGATATGTTTACGTAAAGCCGTCCTACGTGCTCGTAACCATTTTCACCTACAGGTGGTGAGTTTGACATAATGGAAAAATGCAAATCTTCTTTTGGAAAGTCAGCTAGTATGAGCAATGCAAACAGCGACTTTTAAACACAGCGTGCACGAGGAGGAATGGGCTCGTGCATGTTCTCGCACACGTTTAATGTGCATTCCCTCTCAGGAGCAGGTACAGGGTTGTGCATGTGCAAACTTTTTTTTTTAAAGTGGAGGAGGTGTGTCTTTTCAAAAATTCGGGAAAATGCTCCACTATATCTTTAAGTTTGTTTTAAATCACATGACTCAACAAGGGTGTACTGCAGAAACAGGACCAGATATCCCATTGCTTTGCCTTTTTGATCATTCATTAAATGTCGATGAAGAGATATTCCCTGAGTTTCTCTAACAATGTTATATTAGTTGAAATTTTTTTAACAAGATTGTGTTTATACCGTCTAACTGAGTGTTTTTCATCCCACAGGTTTTTGGGAACATGTCTTTCACTGAACTTTTCCAGGGGAGACCAGCACAGCCTTGTAACCGGGGGATCCTGGAGAAACTTTTTCTAGACTTTCTCCTGAATTTTTTTATAGTTTGCACAGCAGCAGCTGTCTCAGCCCTCCCACAAATGCTCCCCCCTTGACATACAAGCTACTCCCTAAAAAAACAACTTGGAAAGGCAGAATACAAAACTGAGTTTTACTCCAAGCCTTCCACATCGCCGACAGCTCTTGACATGTTCAGCCAATCTGTTGGTCAAACAGTAGTACCCTGTGACACTTCTGCGCTTACAATCTGAGATCTGCCTGTGCTTCCCAACCTCGCTCTACCATGATGATGCTTTGGCTTCTGCTGCTTTTTTCAATTTGGGTGTGGTGTGAAGGAGCAGATTCCAGTGAACGGAGAGTTGTGGCGCACATGCCTGGGGACATCATCATTGGAGCTTTGTTCTCTGTCCATCACCAGCCCCCTGCTGACAAGGTGATTTCCTTTGTTTTTCTCTACTCCTGCAACATGGTCTCAATGCTTTAAAGTGGGCATGTAAATCTGATATTCTAGTAAAAGATTCCTCTAAGATCTTAGAGGGATGTTAGCAGTTATTGTTTTTTTTTTTAAATAAATATATATAGCACTTTGTCCTTAGCATAAATCCAGATTTGTAATTTCAGAGGGTAAAGCTCATGGTTACCTTAAGAGGAGACAAGTATCAAGAGAACATCTACCATTTTGAAACAGCCAAAATCTCAAAGAGAGGAAAGTGGTTTATACAAATGCAGTAAAATCACATGCAACATGGCGGCATAGGTGTTGCACCACCAATGATCTTCCCGTGTGAAACGTATTGTGAACAGAAGCTTCTTAATCTGTCATAAAGATCAGTGGTGTTGCACCACTTGCCTTTCCTGTGTAAATAATTGTACTGTTAAATACCAACAACCCAATGCAAATGTTATGACTGTCTTTAATAATTGCCTGCTATGAGATTACTTCTGCCATAAAACAGTAGTAATCTCAGAACAGCTATTAGTGTTAGCCTACAGAAACAAATATTTTCAAATGACCCCAAATAAAAAGAAAAAAACAAGTTATCCAGTGGAGGTAAAATGTCAACTACTAACAACATTATCATATATTACAAAAAAACTGACATATCCTCTTATCAGTTACAGGAAAAATATTTTTGGAAAAATAACTGCTCATATTTATGGTATTATTTTTCCATATTCGTTCAGAGAGAATCCAAACAAAGCTGCAAGGCTTACCAAAGAAATATATTTATTTTTGAAAATGGAAACCCTTTTGTGTTTGCAGCATCATGAACAATAGTTGCCTCAGTAACCAGTACTCACCCACTGACATTTAGGCTTTGTTTTTCATTCAAATATGAATAATCAAACAAAAACAACCTTTAGATATGTAAAGTATCTATTTTTTTATTTTTAAGTCAATTCAGGTCATTTTCCTTGATAGAAATTCATGACATTTTGACATAATTTGTTCTTTTTTGTTCGCTCAGGTTCATGAACGCAAGTGTGGCGCAGTGCGTGAGCAGTATGGCATCCAGAGGGTGGAGGCCATGATGCATACGCTGGACAGAATCAATGCTGACCAAAACATCCTTCCCAACATCACTTTGGGCTGCGAGATCCGGGACTCCTGTTGGCACTCCGCTGTGGCTCTGGAGCAGAGCATTGAGTTCATACGGGATTCTCTGGTGTCCTCTGATGATTCTGAGGATTGGGGTGGTGTGACATCTTGGGGAGGAGGAGGTGGAGGGGGAGGAGGAGGTGGAGGGGGAGGAGGAGGAGGAGGGACAATGAAGTGCTCGGACCCAGCCGCTACTCCAATGCGTGGAAAGAAGCCTATTGTTGGTTTAATTGGACCAGGATCAAGTTCAGTGGCTATCCAGGTGCAAAATCTGCTGCAGCTTTTTAACATACCGCAGATCGCCTACTCTGCCACAAGCATGGACCTCAGTGACAAGGTGAGCCAGGATCACTTTAGGAACGCAGGAGAAATTTTGAAACAAATGCATGATCAGTTTTAATATATTAAATCTGATATTTACCTCAGGAAACTACCATTTTATTTACAACCCACTTGGTGCTTTTTGGTTTCAGAGCCTTTATAAATACTTTATGAGAGTGGTCCCTTCAGATGCCCAGCAAGCACGAGCCATGGTGGACATTGTCAAAAGATACAACTGGAGTTATGTGTCTGCTATCCACACTGAAGGTAAAACTATACACCTGTAAGATTCTTATGGAAACAATGGATTGGAAAGTATTGTATAATAATATTATTAACCAGTGGTGGGAGTGTTGGCGTAGTGGTTAGAGCAGTGCGCTTGTGCTCTGAGAAAGTTGCAAGTACCCGGTTTGATCCCCACAGCCGACACTCTAGGTCTCTGAGCTTTAGGCTACATCCACATGAAGAGAAAAGGCTTATGATTTAGGAAAGCTTCTCTATAAGCACAAAGGCAGTTCAGTAAATGTGTGCATCCACAGTAATGTACTCAATAGGCCTGAGCTCCGTGAAAATATGCCAGACCTGCTGGTGGTGCTGTGACGTGATGTCACAAAGGAAACAAGATGGGAGTAGAGGATAGGGCATGCAGACAAGATTGCAGACGGTGCCCTTGTTGTCATTTTCTGCACGCCTGTTTGAAGCAAGTGTCTCAGATAATGGTGTGGAGATCAAATAAAGTAATTGTGGCAAAATCCCCTGCATCAGAAGCCACTAAAAGATTATTATAATTCCAGTTAACGATTAATCGATTACTCAATTAATTGACGGTTATGTAGATTATCCAGTAATTGCATTTCATTTCAGTACTAAATTCCACTCAACTATGTTTCGGTTTTGTAAGAACTTTGACTAAATACAGCCTTTCTAGATATCCCTTAAACATAACTCGGCATTACTTTGCTATGGCTACTTCTTGCATCTTATCAAAGAAACACAAAGTCAAGTCAAGTCAGCTTTTATTGTCACTTTCTTCATATATACAAGACATACAAGGGAAATGAAATCACGTTTTCTCTCTAGGAATATACAAATATACAAGAAATATACAAGCCTGACATTTACAGACTGACAAAGTGCAGGACATGACAGGTAACAGTGATAAGATAAATATAAAGTATAGACATTACAATAAAAGCAATAAAACAGCAGCAATAGTATATTACAGGCTGAGGTAGTGCAGGTAAGGTGCAGTCTCTGGTACAGTGTATGTGTGTGTGTGTGTATGAGAGGTGTGTGTGTTGTTTTTAGTCTTTACCAATCCCTACATTAAATACTGCTATTTAATCCATACTTCCCACATTTCCATGCTCCAAATTCACTCTTTTCATATACACACGTTTTAACAAGCGACAATGTCCAAGCAGTAATGAACTGTTCAAAATCGAATTCTGAATTATATCATAGTAGAAAGTTCTTAATTAATTAAAGAGAAAAGCAAAGTTATTTAACTGTTAAAATAAAAAAAGAAAGTAAATAAGGAGAATTGCAATCTGTAGGACTGCCACTGCAGCAGAGAGTTGTTTTTAATTTTCCCTTTACGGAGGTAAAGGTACCGTAGTAGAAATTGAATTGAGACGGCTGGACTGAAGCCTGGCAGAAAGCTGATGAAGCAGTTGTGTCCAAAACTAGGGAAGTAGATTAGTAGGTGATGCATGCAGGTCAGTCTGAACAAAAAGGTCTGTGGTTCTGCCAGAGAGACACAGCTGATGTAGTGTTTGAGCCTTTTGATCTGAAAAGAATCATAAAAAAACTTGTCAGCACTATTGAAGGATTTTATAAAAGGAAAAGAAAACCTCCTTTCGTTCCTCTTCCTCACTGATTGAGTTGCCATGAAGTTGAGTCACACAGCCTCTCAGTTCACTGCAGGGAGATGGTGGCGATAGTAGGACTGCCAGCGGAGGTGGAGGACAAAGCTGTTGAGTCTCTGTGCATGTGTCCACAAACAGGGTTTGCTGCTGCTTTAAAAGAGAGTGCAGACATCCAAAGAGATGCACATAAAATATTCTGTCATCCTGCCTTTCTGTTGTCTAGTATACAGGAGCTCCTGCATGTGTGCTGGGCTTCTATGCTTTTACTGAAGTACAGTGTGTCCAATCAACACATAGTGTGACAGCTTTATAAACACATTTAGAGAATATGAGGTAGGGGAGATGGAGTTATCTTTATTAAAGATGAGAAAAATATGCGGTATCTGATACTGAACTTTATAAAACACATTTTACATGTGATTTGATTTGTATGTAAAGCTGTAGCACATACCACTTGAAGCTTTTGGTTTATGTGTGATTTATGATTACTTTCACATTTCAAAGGTTGGCAGTTTTAGTATTAGTCCTAAATTAATTTTGATGTGTGAAAAAGTTAAGGTTTTAATTTGGCAGTCATTCCATAGAAGTTTGTAAAAAGGAAAATGAACCAATAAATGGTGTTAGTATTTAATGGGGACTTGGGGTTCTGAGAGATTGCCTGCTTAGATGAAATGAGAAGATGAGAAACAGTAAAGGTTAAATTCCTCTCAAATACTCGTTAGACAAATTATGAATTTTAAAAGTGGAATCAGCTGATTAAACCCCTCATCCATTATAATCCTTTCAAATATACAATTCTGTTTAAAGGTGCCCCCCCCCCTTTTTTTTTTAAACAAATTGTAATAAGATGCAAAAAACAGCTTTAATAAATATTTTTTAAAAAGCCTGCATACAGATATTTCATTCAATAGTGGTGACATTTTTTTTTTCCAAAACAACTTGGTTCTTTGAAGAAAATGTAAATGTCCTTGTTAATCTGTTAATTAACCATGATTAAGGTGATATTTGAACAACTGAGTTTCATTTCCTGTTGGAAAAACATGTTCATAAGACGTTTGGTGAAATATTGTAGAAGGGTCTGACATAAAACAAACAATATAATAGCTTCCTACAGTTGTGCTTAAAAGTTTACATACCCTTCCTTCAAACACAGAAAAAAAATCACAGGTATTTTCTGCAATGTTCAGAAAATATTCAGTCAGACTTCTGTACTTGTTGACAAGAATTGTCGGTTTACTGTTCATTAGCAATAGTCTTTAATTTGTCTGGGACAGTTTGTCTTTTAGATTTTTGTTTATTTATTTTTCTGAATTATCATGTAGTTAACTTCTACATACCGGTATCAATATTTCTTTAAATTTTTTATTATTTGAATTTTGGTCTTAATTTATAATTTTCTTGGAACGGTATGTAAGCTTTTCAAGCACAGCTGTATTAAAACATTTTTAGATTTCTATCTCAATTTCTAAGGAAAATCTCTGGTTATGTATGTAATCTTTTTTGATTTATTGGGAAAAGGACCATGTGAAATTAGAACTAAATGTTATTATTTGATGCTCTGTACCAGAGTTAGCAAACGCTTAGTTTGCATGTATTAATTTGGGGCTGCTCTAATATTTTAGGTCTTAGACTAATGTTATAATAGAGAAAATACTTACATTCTTCTCTCCACTAGGTCCTGGATCAGTCTGTCCAGCCCTTATTTTGTTAAGTAACATACACAGCTGTACTTTATCAGGATAAAAAAAAAAGTTTTGCATTGTTGTCAAAGATTAAATTAGATTTAATTAGGAAACAGTGGAATACACTTAAAAAGAGATTTTTGCACAAAAAGTCACCAGTTTGGGTGAAATGCAACCACTTAGGGAAAATTCCTCCACAGCAATTTAAAAATCAATCCCTCTTGATCTCAGTTAAGAATTCATTTTCAGGTTTTCCCACATAGCAGCAGATTAGTTTGGAAACCGTTTCTTGCCTCTATGAATGAAAGTATGATTTAAAATTCTTCTTGTATTAAGTTATGTAACGAATTGTTGACCTGAACCATTTAGATGTGACAGAAAAAAAAACAACAGAATAAAAGAAGAATCAGTAATGTAAAAATGCTTTCTCCAGCGAATCTATTTTGCTCTTGACAAATTGTACATGTTGGTTTGAAGGGAAGGCAAGTTTGAAATGATGATAAAACATAATTTATTTTGAGTTCACTTTTGTTCCCTTGCATACAGATTTGTTTTATTGAGTAGAGTAACTCATTTATGTAATGAAGGTATATTTTAGCTTACATACTATGCAAAACATTTTATTTTTCACTTAGTTCATTGTGTGTGAGAAATACAAAATACAGAAAGACAAAACAGAAGGGGAGGCTGAGTGATTAATGTGATCAAGAACAATTTTTGCAGAGTTTAAACTCATTCTGCAAGAACTTCATTATTTCCAGATTTCAGGTGCATTAGTTTTAATTTTACTATTTGTTGGGAAGGAGTCCCATGACACTTAGAAGTAACCTAATGGGGCAAAGCTTCTCCACGGCCTCCTAGTGCCTCCCAGTTACACCCTAATGACTGGACACACTGATGCTGTCAAAGAAAGAATCCCTATTATTTTATTTCAGGGCTAATGGGATCGGAATAACCTTGTTTTGCAGGTTTTTGTCACGTTAGCAAAGCCTACTGAGGAGTTATTTTTTTCTCTTTTGAATTATGACAAGCTTATGACTGTGCAGGGATCATCTATGCTGTTGAAAATAGGGAACACTGATATTTTAAGCCCTTTTTGGCAAAACACAGCCACACTCACTCTTCAATTATAATACCCTTTTCAAAGTGCTCCGGCTGCTGTTCACAAAACAACATTTAAAAACTGTGCTTGACAGATATAAATATATGTAACTATGCATCACTTGATATGTAGCTCCAGATATGTGGCTTGATGATTCAAACATGTTTTCTTCTGTAATTCGACCCTGGCTTCATAAGGTTTAGTAAGAATGACTTAGGGACCTTACGCTTGTTAAATAATATATAAAGTTATTGAAGTCCTCTTGCTCTAGTTTCTCAGTGCTCCAGCACAGCTGATTTACATTGATATTTGATTAACAGCTGAACTGCAATCATCAGAATCAGCTGTGCTAAAGCAGAGAAACCTTTAAAACCTGCAGGACAGCGGCCCTCGAGGAAAGACTTTGGGGATGCCTGCAAATCATCCCTTTGCAATATTGTTTTAAGCTTCATTTCCAATTTTTCTAAACCAGTGAAATACTTCCATCCAGAGATTTCCATCCATCTACATTCATCTACATTTGAACCAAACATTTTTTCCCCCATTTTTCATATTTTTGTAATCTATAAATGATTTTTCTTTGGTAATTTGTGAACATAAAAAATTATTTTAGAG